TTCTTTCTGGGAACTGAGAGAAGACGTGAAAGATTTTGATACACAATTTATACATAGATATTGACTGTACATACCGTCAAGTATTTCTTTTGGCTTCTCCTCAGATTCATCCTCTTGCTTTGGTCGTGGTGCCATTGTCTGTGAAATATAAATATCAATTCTGTTTTATTGGTTCTTTTTCAATGTTATAGACTCAATAGTTTGTAATTGCTTGCTGCATCTTCTGTATTGTACAAATGTAATGGTAATGCTATCTAATAATTCCATTTTCATAACTGTCAGTGATACTCCAGTCAGGTTCTATAAAATGTGGAAGTCTTTTAATGGTGTGGGAAAATAACAAGATATGATATGAAAGATAAATATGTACTATTCATTAAGACTTCTGTCATTCATATTATTTTTAATATTGTGATATTTAGATTTTGTATTTGTGTTTGTAAGTAAATGGACACAAGGCACAGAGCGTCACAATAATCAGAGCTTCCTCAATTGATCAAACTCACATGGTTTTATATTGATTTCTGTACTGTGCCAAATCATTTCCACACTGGCTTCAACACAATGCAAATGACTTTGTGGCTCATCATAGTTATTGCCAATATATACGAAAATCAAATGAATTTTAAAATATTACCAAATGATACAACAGATTACATCTTTGGATGTTGTGGTTTTATACCAGCTTTTAAAGTACAGTAAAACTATTTGGTTGCAATAGTGAGAAGCATTTAGTATTTTCCTAGAAAGAATGAAATGATGATGATGCTGTTGCACAACAGGTTATTTCAGGATGAAATTTAAGTCTGTTGACATAATCAATAATACGATCTGTATGCTACAATTTAATGACACTTATAAAGATGATTTAAATTACTACACTATTTGCATACTCAGTTTAACATTTATATTTATGTGATGTAAATATTATACAGTACATTGCATTTTTTTTACTTTACATGTAACTGCACTTGTAATCCTCACTTTTTAAAAAACATAATGCTTGCTTTTTATGCATAGGAGATGTTACAAAATCTCACTAAATTGTTTCTGTCTAAATTATAAATCTAACTAAATTATAAACTACTGGTATAAAAGTGTCGACATATTAATTAAATTAATTAAAATATACATTTTGAATATTAAGAATCTATTTTATATTTTAATTCATTAATATTTAATTAATATTTCAATTTTACTGACTTAAAAAACACTTACCTGACGTGTTGTCAGGTCCCGTGTTGGCTTCTGAAATGCTTGACTTATCAATGGTCAGATCCGTGTCCCCTCTCTACCTGTCTCAGCCCAAACCAGTGTACCCAGTGCAAGACTGTTACTTTCAGACCTCAGCTGACAAAACTACAGCCTGAACAGAAGCACTTGTCTTGAAGGAGACCACTCTATGAGACACACACAAATTCTGCTGTTCTTCAGACTGGCTCAGTTCAACCTCTGCCCGGTCAGATGCATTTATAGCCCCCCAGCAGATCATTTAGGATTCCCCTGTCCAAGGTTTATCACGTCGGTGATAAAGGGGAAAGGGGAGTGTGTCTGTGCAGGCACGTGTATATGTGTGCCCATTTATGCGCATGGTTCAAACTGTCTGAGTGTGGCATCAGATAATGACCGTGTGAAGTTGTCTGCTATTAAATGTCTGTGATATGAAAGACCTAATGTGCAATTGTGTTCTGTGATGTGCCCTGGGAATAAAAATTGTAAAAACCTCATTTTTATATGGTGAAATTTAATTATTTATGTTTGACTGTTTGAGTTTAATTAAAATAAAATCAATTTAATAAAATGAAAATTAACCATTGGTCTTCTATAGTAGCTTACATTTAGATCACGATAACCACAGTTAAAATCACTCATTTAGTACCTCAGTCCCATGATAAAAAGGTAACTATATGGGTATTTGTATGAAAAACATTAGTCTAAATACATTTAGTATAAATGCACAAACGCTACAGCTTAATCACAAAAAATACTGTAATTATATTCCATTACTCATTTAATACATTTAATACATTTAATACATGTCTGCATTAATAATATAATCAAATTCTATATGAATATTCCAAATATCTGCACTCTCAACTCTCAGAAAAAATGGTACAAAAGCTGTGACTGGGAAAGTACTTTTCAATAGGTACTAATATGTACCATGTACCATTTTTTACAAGTTACAAAATGCTATAAAATGTGACAAAATAATTCACCTAATGTTCCTCTTCCATAAAATCAACTAGGAGAGGCCATAACCCAAAAATTAGCTATCTCCAAAAAGCCCTGAACTCCTTCTTTAAGATGTGATATTTAAAGCTTACACTTATTCTAAGTTAGATCCACTATTGTATGCTGTTGCCGTATGGCAACATATCATAAAGTACCTTAAAATAATATTTTTTTCCAAACATTTTTTTACAGCACTTCAAGTTAAGCCATTCTTAGAAAAGAAAAAGATTCAAATATTTTTTTCTATAGGTCTATCATAATGCGTGCGGTAGAGGGTTTTAATATAGTAATAAAGATAATGTCCTCTGCAGAGGACAAAAATGAACTGCTGGTTCTCTTGAGAGTATGTGTGAGGACACAACTAGTGTGTGTGTGTGTGTGTGAACCCTGAATCTAGGACACTGATCAATAACATTCCTGTTGACCCTGCATTTGCACTGGATCACATGACAATCAGTTTCTGAATGAATGAGATCATTATTATGACGGTGAGGGAAACATCCATCCATCCATTTTCCAAACCATTTGTGTTTGCGAGGATGCTGGAGCCTGTTCCAGCGTCTCGGGCCGTATGCGGGGAAACACCCTAGACAGATAACCAGTCCATCGCAGGGCAATGGGGGAAATCTCCCCTAATATATTTATATATAAGATGCCATATCAGGAGTCATAGATTAGAATATAATAAAGTATTGTAAATCAAACTTCGTATAGTAATCAGCTCATGAGTTTTTCTCTCCCCACATCAAAACTCTGTATTAAAAAGAAGTTGTGACTTCAGAGTGAAACTGCAGTGCTCTCTGCTGGTTTAAAAGCACTGGTTAAGTAAGCATGACTCTCTGCTATTACGTCTTAACTTCCTTTGTGTAACTGAAAATAAACATTATTTATAGCGATATCATATAATATGAGAAACCAGGCCTAGGTGTCACACTTTTTGCATCAAAACGATACAGTTACAGTACTTACTGAATGTGAATGTTGTGACAACATGCCCCAACAGTGCATATGGATGGGAACCAGCCTGTTTTTTATTTTTATTAATTTATTTTTTTGGCTAAATTTAAGCAGTTAAACCATAATGAATAGTAAATAATTTGTGAGAGTTTTGAATTTGGCGTGTGAAAGTACCATACAAATTTGTGTAGCCTAATAGATATCAAGTTCAAACAAAGTTAGTAAGGTATACATGAAACGTCCCTTTATGACAATTACCTAATTATAAAGATGAAAGCTATAGATAGACAAAATTAATTGATTTTTAGAAATAAGATATTTTGCAGTTTATTTATTTGAAGTACAAATAGTGTATCCTTAGAACACAGTGCAGTAAAATAAGTTATAATTATGTCACGTTGTTACTTGTGTTACTTGCTGTTTCTTTGTAATTAACTGTGAAATTTACTAGCAATTAGTAAGTGATTTTTTTTTTTTGCATCAATTTTCCAGTGTACACACAAACAGACAGACCCTATGACCTTAAAAGAGACAGTAGAGAAGCAATGCAATTCTGTTTGGAGCTGATCGATCACTGAATAAATGATTTTCCCAGTTTAGACTAATGGAGCCACCAACTGTTTTCAGTTCAGTTATCTCTCCTTTTCGAAAACCACCAGTTTTATAACCATTATTTATGATTATGAGACAGAGTACACAGATATTTCTGTTATTAGCCTACTTGAAGTGACATATTTTGCTATAAATAAATAATCTAAGACTGACCTATGAAAACAGCATACACAATAATATTAAGTGCTTAACAACACAAAGACAAGACTGGGGCGCAGTAATCTACCTCAGATCAACTATTCATGCTCAGCTATGATTTGCATTAGGGAACACAAGGTGTCCAAAAGATGTAAAAGGAAAACATACTAATATTAGCAGAAAATATAAATAGCATTGATGCATTAAGATCTTTCTCACCTTTTCTCCTATGCATAGAGATTCACATGTGAAAAATAACTAATGTAACTTCTAATCAGTGCTATTTTAGTAGATTTACATGTACATTATTATATTATTTATTAATATTTTGAGTTCGATTTTATTTTTATATTTTCAGTTTTCATACGTTTCATGTTTGTCATGTTTTTACTATTTCTAGCTTTAATTGATTTTATTTCAGATTTAGTTTGTCATTTAATACTTCAAATTAAACTTCAAACGTTATTTCAGTTAGTTGCCAACTAATCTTCTTAATCTTTTAATGAGTTTTTTGTTTGTTTTAAATCTAATTTTTATATTTTATTTTATTTCAGCTTTATTTCAATTACCAAAAACTATTTTTTAACTAAGTAATGTGCTTATATTTTCTGCATCACAATATGTCAACTCAATCACCCAAATAAAAAATAAAATAGCTACTCACTTAAATAAGGGATATGCAAAATGGTTTCGTCAACACTGTATAAGTTTCAATAATAGACAAATCAACACATAGGGCTGGAAATCAACTTGAAACGATCCTGTAATAATTAATTAATTCATAATCAAATATTTGATCATGGTAGAGTAACAGACTGTCAGAAAGTAAATGAGCTGGGTCTATCTCATGTGTTCTTATAGTTACATTTAATGTAAATGTGGTTTTGATAAGTACTTTCACTTAAAAATGTATGCTTATGAATTTGTTAGTATATAGTTTAGGACTTCAACATGTTTATTTATGTTTTATGACCATTTTGAGAAATAACAACGAAGTTGTAGTGTCAGTGTTGCTATTTCATGTCAAACCGCATGGTGGCGCTGAAAGCTGGTCACCCATGAACTCTTACAGCACAGTCGAGGAAGAAGGTTCCAGTGGATTTGACATAAGCATGACTGGGGCTGGAGACTAAGACTAAGTCTTAAGTCTAAGTCTTGAGACTAAGAGCAGCGGTATCCGTCCCAGCAGTCTCCAGCCGACCCTGAACGGCCAGGAAATACAGTCTTGGTGTGTTTGGTAACAAACATCACCTAAAAAGGCAGAAAATGAGTGATGTTGACAGGTTATGCACTGTAATGCTGATTGTAGTTGGCCTCTATAGTCTCACATATACAGTAGTCCTGCTTGTGCATGAATGCATGCTAGATCTGGTCTTACTACTGTAATACCACGTTTTTGGACATTTGTCGTGTTGATATTTTGTGGGGTTTAAAATGAAATGTTTATGTGGTGTTTAGCCTAAGTGCTCTAATAATAATAATAATAATGTTTATGTGTATATGTAGGGTCCCACAGGAATTGACCACATCCCCACAGAGGAGGAGAGGAGGGTGTTCAGGGAGTGCAACCAGGAAAGCTTCTGGTACAGATGTGAGTGGAAATCCAGTGTTTTTAATCATTATTATGCTTGTGGTTTTATTGATATCATAAGTGAATTATGCTTCTGTCTTTACGTACATACAGCTCTTCCTATATCTGTCATCAGCATGGGCTTCACTCAGTTCCTTATCTCTAGAGGTGGGTTTATATTTCATGCATAGGATAACATGTGATGTTAGATTGTGATATGCTGATGTCAACTATTAGTTATGTACTGATATAATATAATATTCTACATTTTTGCTCATTTAGTTTGTTTTTTTTTTTAAGTTGAAATGAATACTTTTAATTACCATGGGTGCATTAAAGTGATCAAAAGTGAAATAAAAAATGGACAAAATAAATGCTGTTCTTTGGAACATTCTATTCAACAAATATCCTGAAAAAAATATTTTCACAAAAATATTCTACAGCACAAATGCTGTTTCTCGAGCATTAAATCAGTATATTATAATGATTTCTGAAGAATCATGTGACACTGAAGGCAAAATTAAAATACAATAACAGTTATTTTAAATTGTGATGATATATTTCACAATATTACTGTTTTTCTATATAACTGATCAAATAAATGCAGCCTTAGTGAGCATAATGGACTTCTTCAAAAGCATTAAAAAAATCTTTTTAACTTTTAAACAGTAGTATAACTGTATTTGTTTCAGGTGCTCTTACAGCCTCCGGTAGATTTGGATCTTTGCCCAAAGTAGCTTGTGAGTAAAATTTACTTTATAAAACAGATAGTTCCAGTCCTTGATTCTGATTGGTTGAGCCGCGTTCGAAGCTGTTGTAAATTACACTACAAACATACACCTTTGTTTACTTTTGTGTGTTGCTCGGCAACCACTGTGTTGGAACCACAAGTGGTTCTGAGGAACTACATTGTTTGGTGGAAGAATACTGTTTTTATTTATATCATTACAATTTATTTGCTCCGTTTTATTCTGTGAAGTCCGAGACAGCGCCACCAACCACCAGTGTGAGCAACAACATGCACAGACATGCCACCTACATTTAAAGGGGTGGCATGCGATTTCTGTGCCACTAGCATCACCAAATTCTCAAAGGATTCCTAAACACTCCTACTACATTCTTTCTGTCTTCTGTGGAACATAAAAGAAGATATTTTGAGAAATTGTGATTTTTTTTTCCCCAAACAATGGTCTATTGGTCTATAGTTGGTCTATAGTTTATTTTAACGTATTTCAGGTTTACCCATAAGCACCCGGAACCGAGTGATCCAAACAAAGCCGACTTTGAGCCGGCCTTTCAACTTGATGATCAGAGGAATCAGTCCTTCTCCTATTCGAGTGATTTCACTTACATGTCCTCAGCAACTCACTCTGACACCCAAATTACAGGTAGGTTATAGTGCCTCCATCTGTTTGCATTAAAAACTGCCGGAGAGGGCAGCACGATAATGGTGAAACTGATCATCACAATTATTTTTGCTCAAAAATGATCATGATTTAAAGGGTTAGTTCACCCAAAAATGAAAATTCTGTCATTAATTACTCACCCTCGTGTTGTTCGAGACCCATACATAAGACCTGCGTTCATCTTCGGAACACAATTTAAGATATTTTTGATGAAATCTGAGGGCTCTCTGACCCTCCCATAGACAGCAAGGTAACTACCACGTTCAAGGTCCAGAAAAGTACAAAGATGATCGACAAAGTAGTCCGTGTGACATCAGTGGTTAAGCTGTAAAGTTACGAAGCTACGAGAATACATTTTAGCGCAAAGAAAACAAAAATAATCATTTTATTCCACATTTTCGTCTCTACTGCGTCACTTGTGGACGCGCATTCACGACAGTATCATGACGCGAGCGTGTGGTGGCGCCGGCGCTGACCCAGATCCGGTGTGATGTTGGTTTATTTGACCTCATCTAGTTTTCTAATTTACCATATTTAATAAAAACATTAATGCACTATCTATTATAAACTGGTAAAACCCTAAGAAGCTTCTCTCAAAAGCTGCCAGTGAAATTCCTAACATTAATTCTAAACTAATATTAATTACTAAATTAAATTTTTTTTTCCACCATTAAAGCAGCGAACAGACTTTGTAGCACAGAGCCACAATCCCAAATATGGTTCGAGATTCATGTTTGGTCTTATAACCCTCCTAACATTTGCTGCAGATCTAATTTCTTAGAATATTAAGAGTAGTTCACCCCAAAATTAAACTGATGTCATTTTTACGTCATAGAGTGAAATTTAAAAACATCCCTCTAATCCAGCAGAACCAATTTACATTGAGGAGGATGTACAGAAGAAACACATTCTGTACGAGGAGCTGCGGAGTAAGAACAGGGAAAACTATGAAGTTACGACTCCGAAACCAGAGACACTGTTGAAGCCTTCGGCCGAGACCAACCCAGCCAAGAGAGGTGAGATATGACAATAACCATGCAACGTCCTAAACTAAAAAAAAACAAATGTACATGGAGAAATAAAAAGTTACTACTTTTGACATGTGTCAGGTTGAGACACAGGTCAAGTATACTAAATAAATACTTAATAACTGAGATCTGTCAATTGAATTTGTTTGATACTCTATTATGCCACAGCCAAACAGAGTATATTTCTTATGCTGACCAATTATTTAATCGTAAATACACAAAAAAAATGACAATATTTTTAAATATTATTACAATTTAATATAACTTCATACACTTTTAAAAATGTAATTTATTCCTGTGAATATTCAGCAGTAAATACTCCAGTCTTCAGTGTCACATGATCCTTCAGAAATCATTCTGATAGGCTGTTTTGGTGCTCATGAAACATTTCTTATTATCAGTGTTGAAACCAGTTAATATTTTTGTGGAATCAGGAATAAATTTTTATTCAGGATGATATAAACGATGAATAGAAAGTTCAAAAGAACAGCATTTATTTGAACTAGACATCTTTTGTATCATTATAAATGTTTTTACAGTTACTTTTGATCAATTATTTGATCAAATTATTTCAAATCTATACTGACCCTAAAGTTTTTTTCTGTATTAAGTAAGAGTAGTGTTTTGTACATATACTAGTAAAAATGTTTTTACCTACTTCATATATATTCTAATAATTTTTTTTTTTTGGTGTCTGAGAGATTGGCTTTGTACCCATTTAATTGAGGTTAAGACACAGTTTTTGTTTTTAAATTGTGTACAGCTTAATACAATAATAATAGCAGCAAGATTTTTTAATTTGTAAGGATACACTTAGGTTTTTACATTCCCGGAAGACAATTCTAATGGTGCTTTCCCACTCAAAAACTGGTCCCACAGTTCCCTTAGTATTGTGGTCCAGTTGCTACTGTACTTTGAGAGTTTGTAGCACCATGAAATATTAAGGTCAGCAGGACATTTGATTCAGGGACGAGTTACATGTCATTGTTTAATATATGAGATTCATAAACCTCTTATCTGAAGTATGAGCAATTATTAGCAGATACAGTTTTAAGACAGACTAAACCACAATAACTGTGCTTAATTCAATATTAAACTCTTTGAATTCAAACAGACTTCACAATATAGGCTTATATTCAGCATTAAATGGAAAAATGAAACAAAAATCAAGTTGGGCATATTTTATTTCTGTACACACATTGTACATAAATACGCTGGAATTATTTTTGAAAAATAAAGACGATGTCCCTGGGATTTGGGATGACATCAGACGCGAGATAGGAAATTGTAATTTCAGTAATAATATTGGTAATCGCACACACATACACACTTCATAAATTTTAAGTTTTAAGATCTAATAACCAATTGTTTTATTGAGTATTGGGACATAACCGTTTTATTAACCTACAACTGGATACATTTACACAAATATAGCTCACTACGAGAAAATGTCTGCATAGGACTCCTGATCCAGGATTGAAACAATGATGAAAAAACAAACAAATTAAGTGAAAAATATTAAATTAAAAAAAGCATTTCCGCCCTGGAGAAACTCCGATATTTGGGGGTTCATAAAAAAAAATTCAGAACTTTTTATTTTGTTTGACCACCAATAAATTGTTAAAATGAATTAACTTTTTCAGTGACCCAACAAACCTATAAATGTTTTGTCTCTCACTTGTGAACAAAATTACAAACAAAATATCTCAGGGACAGACAGAAATAATCACCCACCCACACACACACACACACACACAACCACACACACACACACAAATCAAGAGACAAATATTTGCTGCACGTCTTTTTAAACTGAGCAAGTAAACAAGGATAAAAAAATAAAACCCGCAAACAAATCTAATCTGTGCTGCATCACTACCCATAGGTGCACCTGGACCGCATCAGGTCAGTGACTTCAACTAGACTCAAAAGTCCTGTCAGAGTCTAGATGCTGCGTGGCACAGTCAGTGTTTGATTGTCTGTGTATATGGATGATCATTTTTGAAAAAGAGAGATGGGGAACTATGTATTGTGCATTGACCGTGTCCATTTGGCTCTCAGCTAACTGAAAATCCATATGAATCGTTCCTAACATCCATATTTTGAATTAATACAGTAAAAGAGTTTAATTCTACAGTTGCCACTTCCTCAAGCCATTCTTCACTGATCAGTTCCACAGTGATGGTTGTTGTCGGCAAAAGAAAGTCACTTAGCTAGTACGCAGACTGTGTGATTTAGTTAAGGTATAGTAGACGTTCCAGTTAGGACTTTCCGTGGCCTCCTCGCAGGCTCTGTGTAGCCATGTGTCTGTAAAGGTCACTCTGTGTGTATTCATGCACTCGCAAAACCAGAACGGCACAGACGTGTGCCTCAGTCTGTGCGTATGTGTGTATGTGGGTTGTAAACAGTGCTTTCTCAGTGAGGAGTGCTGTGAGTGGCGCTCGGACGTGAGGTGAGTCGCTTGCTCAGTGTGGAGGGAAAAGGGACGAGGCCACATGATAAAACCAAGACAGTACCGGAGAAAGGCACCTCAGGAAGACCACGCCGGAGGGACGAGCTCTGGCCCGCCACTGCTAATCCGGCCTGAAGATGGGAATCTTGGGTAGAAACTCTATCAGGATGACCTATAAATAGGACAGAGAGACATGAGGAATGTGAAGTTAACACATTTTACTAGTTATTTTATTTGAAACGGTCACTGTGCAATTAGATTTGAGTGTGTTCGTTGTTGGCTTACATATTCCATCATGTTGTTGGTTTCACACTTCCTTTTGCTGAGTCTCCAATGCAAACATAGCTAAATGAACAGAGGGCACGTAGTAAAATTAGCACCAGACAGGAAAATGCAAACAAGCAAGAAACCTTAAGCATACCTTGTGATACAATCTGTTGTTTTCCCACTCCAGTAACTTCTCTATGGATCTGCGTGTCTATAGGTGAAAAGAGACATATTATTCAGCATTCGAAAGGTATAATAACTTTAAAAGAGCTTGTTGTTTATGTCCTATAATGTACATTACTCTTCAAAAGTTTGGAGTCTGTAAGTCTCTTATGCTCACCAAGGCTGCATTAATTTGATTTAAAAATTCAATAAATATGGTGAAATGTTATTACAATTTAAAATAACAGCTTTCTATTTAAAAAATATCATTTACTCCTGTGATGGCAAAACTGAATTTCTAGCAGCCATTTCTACATTTCAGTGTCACATAATTAAAAAAAAAATCATTCTAATGCACTGATTTGTTGCTCAAGAAACAAACAGTTGAAAACAGTTGTGCTGCTTAATATTTTTGAAATATTTAAAGTTTAAAGTTCAAACCATCAGCATTTTTTTAAATAAATAAATCTGTTGTAACATTATACATGATCAATTTAATGTATCCTAGTTGAATAAAGCATTCATTTAATCGTTTGACAGCACTAAAAAAAAAACCTGACCAGGTCTACTGTTGTCAGTTATCCAAGACAATTTTGTCCCTCATTCTGTCAAAAAAAGGAAAAAACATGCCACAAATGCTTTTGATAAAGCTAAACTTCCATTAAGCGAGTGACTCTGAACACACTCACCCTCTTGCTCAGACAGATGACCGGCCACAGACTAAAGCCCAGAGTACAGCAACAGCACAGACAGCCGCACAGCAGCCAGCGCACATTCACCGGGAGAGCCTTCCTCAGACAGCTGTTCACACGGTTTATGCTGGCTTTGAACTCTTCTGGTGCGACCTGTAAATCAACAAATTAAGCAAGAACCCATGTCAGACCTCAGGATTACGTGGGACACTTGCCAAATTGTAAAATATACACTTGACAATCAGTTACTATTGAAAAGTGCAACTGTGCAAGTGAACATTCTGCTAAACTTATTTGGTGTCCCACAATGGTCTCTGATCTCTTGTCAGGTGCTCTCTAACCTCATCAGGCATTATAGGAGAAAACTCAGAGCTGTTATTATGCCAAATGGAGGTTTCAAAAAGCATTGAATAAAAGGGTGCCATTAATTGTGTCCAATGTGTATAAGAGAAAGCATTTATGTCATAATATTTCCTCCATTTTAAATTCTTATTCTCCAATGAAAAGTTCGATTTATGTGAATTTTTAAAATAAAAGATCAAAATGATTAACATTGCAGATTTATTTTCACAGCCTTCTTTGATCATATTTACCAAGGGTGCCAATAATTCTGACCACGACTGTATATCTACTGTAATACTCTATACACTGAAGTATATTGTTAATTTTTTACACTAGACCAAGGGTTTTCATCCTGGGCATGCTAGGGGGTCCGTTGAAAGGTTTAGAGAAAAACAGTGTAAAAAATGTAAAAAAATAAATAATACAATTATATAAAATAAAATAATAATTAAAATAAATGAAAATTATATTAAAAAAATAAATCAAAACAAGTAAATAAATGACTATGAATGTATTAATTTTTCACAGTATAGATTGGGTCTTTATACAAGAAACTACAGATGCCTTTTTAATTTTAGCATGGAGGTCCCCAGCATGAAGATTTGTATTTGTACCAGGCATGGTTCGCAAAAAATGAGTTTCACCATTTTACTCACTCTTGTGATATTCCCATATATTTTAATAACTTTAACAAAAAAAATTAATACAATTTGACAACCTCAGTCACCATTTCCTTTCATAGTATGGAAAAACGATGTAAACGATGACTGAGGCTGTGAGAAAGAAAGTCACACAGGTTTGTAACAATTAGAGGGTGATCACAAATGACCACAGGACTTTAGTTTTTGAGTGAACTATGCCTTTAAATGTGCAATATATATAAATTAGCTACTCTGAATTTTGTGCTTGGCTTCTTAAACAGCATTTAGAGCATTGTATGCGCATCCGAACATTTCAAATGCTTTCTAGGCAGTTAAACTAGGTTTTCAGACTAGTCTTAAACTGCTGTAGTGATACTTAGCGTGTCTCTAAATGAGTACCGTGCTCCTAATGGCTTTGGTTTGCTCACTGGTGATTGATAATCTATATACGAATAGATCCAGCTGCCGGGTGTCTTACACAGTGACGTGTCCTGATCCGCGCACTGCCACCGGGTCCGGAGCGTATTTGA